CCCCTCCTGCTCCCTCCTCCCCCTTCCCCTCTCTTTCCTTATCAATTATGGTGAGTTAATACAGAGTGAAACAGCAGTGTGTGTGTGTGTGTGTGCTGCACTGAGTGAATAAGTGGGAGGAAATGATCTCATTAATGTTTGGGGGAGGGGTCAAGGGTCAGGTTGTGTAAATAAATTGTCCTGTCAATCATATATAATCTGCATGTGTGTGTTGTTAGTGAGGAGATAAAACCACACAAGGTTGACTCAGAGTTAGAGCGCCCCCGTCAGTCGTTCAGACAAGTGGAAGTGATGTCACTAAATGACCCTGACGGTGGGTCGACCTCTACTTTGACTTTGGCTCCACCTACTGCTGTGATGAAGGTAAAGGTGGTTTGACGAGGTTTATGGAAACAGACGGAAAAACAGATTCCCACCCAGCTTCCAGATAAAATCAGAGGAGCAGGGAGAGCTGTCATGGACACACACACACACACACACACAGAGAGAGAGAGAGAGAGAGAGAGAGAGAGAGAAAACAGCATGATTATGTCAGGACCAAAGTCACATCATCTTGGAGAGAAAACAGGCTAAAATCTCATCATGGCATCTTGAAATGAGATTACCCTCTTCTTCCTCTGTCTCCTCCTCCTCCTCCGAAGCTGAGTCCATAGTGAGTTTCTCAGTCAGTTGTGGAGTGGTAATAGTTCCAATGACACTGGCAGCACATGCCAAAGCCACCTCCACATGTTTGGATGTAGAAGTGTGGGGAATATAAGCCTTTGTGTCTTTCTCTGGTAGTTCTCTGACTTCAGCTAAAGTCCCCTGGTTAGGGACATGAGACAGCTGAGTCTCTGGCCATTCTGTCCCCCCATCAGAAATGTCTGGGCTCTGGACTATGACAATCTTGGGGAGTTCAAAAGAGCAGGTGCGTTGTTTGGTCTTTGATGAGTCGGGGAAGTGTGACGGAGGACTTGTGGGGGAAACGCTGACAGCAACCTCAGAGACGAAAGAGTTCTCATCTTGAGAGAGGCGTATAAAAGCATCTTGTAGTACTGACTCAGCCAGATTGGTGGCGTAATGACCAGCTGATTCCTTAACTTGGTAGCTGAGCAGCTGTTGGCTTTCTCTTTTGACATCAACATCCTCCCTGCCCTGAGGTTGAGCCACCTGTCCCCTTTGACATGTACGTTTTACACAGTGTTTCTGTGCCATCTCCACCAGGATGTCTGCCAAGTCTCCACTCTGTGACTCTGTGGGGAAGAGAAAGAAAACACAGAGTTCTTCAAATGTCATGGGAGAAAAATACCCGTTTTACGCTTTGTTAAACTTGGTTTTGCTAAACTGTTTGTGTTAATGTTCCTTTACACTGGATTAGTTATGAGTACTAATTAACAACAGTATTGTATATACTGTAACATTATAACATGGTCACTAAAGTCCTGCATACAGTACATGACAAGGAAAAGATCTGAATGAGAAATCATAGCCAACTATTCTACGGAGGGTGGGATGTATAGATCACAGTTTTAAATGTTCAACCTTCAAATCTTAAAGACGACACCTGTTTATTCAACAGTGGCAGTCCGTCCCTGAAGTTAGCTGAAAATGTGATCTTACTTTAATTCAATCTTGTACAATCTTGCTTCATGAAATACAGTTAAAATTGGATTTTCACGTAAATTACTGCACAGTTAGTGAATATTACAGTTTAAGCAAAGGAACGTGTGAATCAAGTCTCGCCGTTTCTGAAGCCGTCGTCTTCACTGTCGTCTCCCAAATGTTCCGAAGCTGTTGTGAAGTCCTCCTCTATGGATGAGATGGAGCGATTGGTATCATCCTCCAATCGCTGCCCAGCAGCTCCACCCTGCTGATGCTGATGCTGATGCTGATGCTGATGCTCTCACATACGTGGCGTCGCGGCAGCGCTCGTCTTTAAGTCGTGTTACATTTACTTAAGATGCAAATGAAACATTAAAGAGTTCTCATCAGTTAAAGGTCCAAAGTCAATCAGACTAATGAGATCCTCTGGGAGGGAGGGTGTGTGTGTGTGTGTGTGTGTGTGTGTGTGTGTGTGTGTGTGTGTGTGTGTGTGTACGACGCCTGTCTGTCCGTCCACACTCTCTACAGTTAGCAGCCAGTGATGGTGGAATATTTGGCTCTGCTCCTTCATCTTCAAAGCCCTTTGATGTGTGCAGCCAGCTGCTGCGTATCAACAGGCCGGCAGCCAATCAGAAGCCAGCGGCTTGTTGTACTGTGGGCACTGGGCAGTTAGGATTTAGAGATAAGATTATTTTCTATTCTGAGGCGAATCAAATGGAAGAGAATTCATGATACTCTCCGTTTTACTGCCACAACTGCAGTTTTTTTACTGCAGAGATTTGTATTACTGCATAGAAATCCATCCATCCATTTTCATCCATCCATTTTCATCCATCCATTTTCATCCATCCACTTTCATCCATCTATTTTCATCCGTTATCCACGGCAGTCTCCACGACCGCCACCCAAATCACACTGCACCGTACCAGCCCCCCCTGCAGGTGGTGAGTCCACTGGGAGGTACCAACCGCCCTAACCAGGATTAGATCTAACCCAGGAGGTCAAACCTGGGGTTCCACACCACTGGCAGAGACACTGGCTCTGGACCAAAGCACCACTGCATAAAAATGTTTTGGAAATATACAGTCTGAGAAAACAGGTTTAAAATCAATGCTATAACAATGC